TGGGTGTTTTACCACTGTAACTATAACAGATTATAACGTGCAAGTATAAGTGATATTTATTATACAAAGAGATTTTGTGGGTGTTTTACCACTGTAACTATAACAGATTATTTTTATGTAATTATGATTCTCTTTAAATATTTTAACTTTTCTCCAGTTTTATGTCTTTAAAAAAAAAGGAATCTACCACTGAAAAGAAATAAAAGAAAAAACAATAGATTTTTGTCATTTACCATAATGACAAATCTACAATATTTAAACTAACAGAAAAAAATACTTCAAACTTCAAGGGTATCCCCCCCAGATGTCATATTATACATTATAGGACATACAAGAAGAATAAAACAAAGACATATACATGTAAACACTCCTTAAATAGTCTAAATTCACCTTAAATCAATGCACTTTATCTCTTACCTTATTATTTTCACCTTTGACTCATATTGCAATCCCTTCTGAACTTACATTAGTTAGATATTTTGAAAACTTGTGAAGTAGTGCATAAAAACTAATTCAATCACCCAAAAACTTTAGCTTTGGCAGTATGCTAAGTTATGAGGAATTTTTGTTGTTTTAAATTGTTGTTTTTATTTGAGTAACACTGTAAAGTCAAAATGTTCAAGTTCAATCATAGTCTACATAAAAATCTCTTGGAATAGTTAAACATGCAAAAATGACGTTTTATAATCATTTTACTTTCCTTTGTAAAAATCTTCTTTAGCACGTACATCCAGTCCAAACAAAATGTCCCCCCAAGTTCTTTCTGTTGACCCAATTGAACTTTGATGTCCAAAAATTATTTTTTTCCATATATTTCAATTAGAAACTACTTAAATACTAACTTTCAATCACCAATACTGTCAATCTTCTTTTATTCACAGCTCTTTAACTTTCTTATAACATTGTTTAAGTATTTACTGAACCAAAACTTGTGATTTTACTACATCTCTCATAATTGATTATATTCTTTTATTTATTTTATTTTTTAACACAGTAACATTTACCTAGTTATAATATATGTCTGTGTTTCTGGTGTTCACATATATCTTTAATACACTGCAACATAATGATTCAATATGTTTTTTTTAACAGACCGACCAAGATGATCCTGTTTTGCATCCCGAATCTTAAGAAAGACAACCTTCCTCTCTTAATTTTGAAATAATGATAAATTAGTAAGACTGATATGTGTTTAGAAAAAAGAATTATTTGCATGTGAAGTAACCCATATGTAACTTAGCACCAGATGTTTTATCTCAGTACTTTTGCATATAATATAGGTAGTTTTTATAATTTATAGTAAATCTGGTTTAGTTTTGAAGGGTATAATTTCATGAATATTAATCCTTTTCACTCATAAGGTTTAACTTTCTTCCGTCAAATACATTCTTGTTGGTTGTTGTTCATTGCCTATAATTTTAGTAACAACCTCTGTTTAACAGTTGTTTCATATTTCTGGCTTAATGGTTATTTACAATGATAACATTTCTTCAACATCTGTTAACTGTCTAAGTTAGAACTCTTGCTTATTATTTTCTTCTTCACTTGTGTTAAACAGTTTTATTTCAATTTTTCAACTACAACCCCCATTGAACAGTTCTTGTTTGTTTCAGTTACAATTCCTATTGAACAGTTTTATTTTATTGTTTCAACTACAACCCCCATTGAACAGTTTTATTTCATTGTTTCAACTACAACCCCCATTGAACAGTTTTATTTCATTGTTTCAACTACAACCCCCATTGAACAGTTTTATTTCATTGTTTCAACTACAACCCCCATTGAGCAGTTTTATTTCATTGTTTCAACTACAACCCCCATTGAACAGTTTTATTTCATTGTTTCAACTACAACCCACATAAAACAGTTATTTTTGTTTCTGGTATAATCTGTTCAACAGTTGCTGTTTGTTTCTTGTAAAATCACTGTTGAACCCTTGTTTTCTACTTCAGTTATTATACCTATTGAGCAGTTGTTGTTTGATTTCACATTTACTATTGAACAGTTGTTTTGTTCTTTATTTCGTCTACAACCCTTGTTGAACAGTTGTTTTACTCCAAGTACAACCTCCATTGGAATGTTAGTTTTCTATTTCAGCTAGAATCTTTTTTGAAATTTCACTTGCAATATTTCTTAGAAACTCCATATTTTCTACTTTAAGAAAGAGTAAATTTTTGTTTAGTTAATGTGATAGTACTGATTCAAAAATGATGCCTTTTAAAAGTGTATGAAAGATCTTTTCCAACCTTTTAGAAGCTATAATAAAACATATCTTGTAATTGAAATTATACCTTACACATTTGATTCACCTCTTTAATATACTTTTAAAAACCCATATAATTAGTGTTAATGTTGTTCCCACATAAAAAGATGAGTTTTTGTCAGTTGAATTTATTAAATAATGTTTTATCTAATCTTTTATTATGTAGCTGTAGTGAATATCAGTTTATTTTAAGATTAAAAAGTGCAGTATTTACTAGTAGATGCTTTTTGTAAATGTTTATGTATTACAACATAATGGAGTCAACTACTGGTTGAGATCCTACATTATACAATTGTTCATATTATTCAGTTGATTTTATTCAGTGCATCTGACTATTAGTTAACTAACACAGTATTTAAAAAACTGAAGATACTCAGCAGAAACAGACATTTTTTGCTTGAGTAATTAAATGTTGAAGTTCGTAGGTTTTGGCTGACTGGCTGTAGAAACAATGAGGTGTGCAGGAGGCAAGAAAACCAACATTTATCTGACCCATGTCACATTGAAAACTATATCTATAAATGTAACAAAGGAATAATTCATTTCTGCACCTGTTCTTAGAAATTATTATACAATATTTAATTGAAAAGTATTAGTTTGATCCATCCTGTTGTTTGTGAAAGTATTATTTTAGCTCAGTTCAGAGAGTCAACACATTATCTGTGAGTATCTGCTATTAACTGTAAAGTTTTATGTAATAAAAGCATGTTATGTAGAAAAATGTCACTCATAGCACATGAAACTTTGTTTTCTTAAAACTCATGTGGGTGTAAACAATGAAAGCTGTGAAAAATATTAAGTTTAATATTTAGTTCCAAGTTTCAATATTATTTAATTCCATACAATATTCTGTCAAAAAGCTATATTATATGCTATTTTTGGTAGCTTTTAAAACATTTGCAAAGCAACCATGAGATTCTTTCACATCAAACAAATTTGAAAACTTATTGTTAATCCATAGACTTAAAATATAATTTTAGGTTTATTTATTTAGCCATACAGGTAAAAATATTTCTCATCATAAAAAAATTACAATTAATAATTATTTTTAATTATGAGTAATAGACAAACTACAAAAAAATCTTATGTCACCACTCTGCCTGAGTCACCAGTTAGGTATCCTTGTTAACAGACAAACTACAACAATATTCCCTCACCACTTTGCCCTAAGTCATCAGTTGGGTTTGCATGTTTCAAGTTAAGCACAAAGCCACAAAATGAGCTATCTGTGTCATCAGTTGTGTTTTGTAGTTTGTGTGTTAGCAAGGATATATCTTATCTCACCACTCTGCCCTAAGTCATCAGTTACGTATCCTTGCTAACACATAAACTATAAATATCTTATCTCACCACTCTGCCCTAAATCATCAGTTACATATTCTTGCTGAAACATAAACTACAAATATCTTATCTCACCACTCTGCCCTAAGTCATCAGTTGCATATCCTTGCTAACAGACAAACTACAAATATCTTATCTCACCACTCTGCCCTAAATCATCAGTTACGTTTTGTAGTTTGTGTGTTAGCAAGGATTATCTTATCTCACCACTCTGCCCTAAGTCATCAGTTACGTATCCTTGCTAACACACAAACTACAAATATCTTATCTCACCACTCTGCCCTAAGTCATCAGTTGCATATCCTTGCTGTTTTCACTCTTTAACATGTAACTACATCATCTTTTCAATCACCATTGATAGGCTAGGGAATATATTCTATTGTGTCATTGTTGCAACATGGTACTGTACCACACTATCATGTTCAGGGTACTGTAAACTGGTGCTGACTTTGTATCTAAATACTCAGGATATCATTCAGTCAATAAATACTTTCTCTCCTATCTGAGAAACAGACAGTAACTCAATAATGTTTCACTATACCACATACTTAAAATCAACTTAAATACAGCATACTTCCTTAAAACAGTTTTTAACATGGTACTGTAACACTGAATACTTTAGTTAAATAATCTGGTACCAGTCAATCACAGTAGTCTTAGGGTTACACTGTACAAGTTTTTAGCACTAGACAAAGCACAGGCTCTCCTCCCTTCAATTATGGACTCATGTCGTGGCATGTTGTCGGTTCATATTCCAGGTACTTTGGCATTGTTCCTATTTTCAAACCATTGACCATAGGAAGGTAACTGACCAACAACAAGCTAACGCTTTTGTTTTAGTTATATTAATTAATTTATTTTACTTTATTGAATTATCATTACTATGCATTATTTTTTTGCACCAAGTTCCTAGTTTAAATAAGAGGGGATTACACTTTTAATATAAAGAAGAGATCCAGACTGCTAATCACTTCTTGACACTGTAATAAGAAGGCAGACAAATGTAAACCCAACCAAGCATCAACAACATGACATATAATTGCACAAATTAAGCCAAGTAATCCTAGTTAACTACAGTATTCTCAAAATAAATAAACATGAAATAAATTAGAATATTTTCAACTGCAAACATTAAGAACAAAAGTTTTACAGGCTCAACCAAGTAAGCCAGATACTTTTTAATACAACATTTTTTCAAGTCATTGGAATTAGGTATTTTGCTTAACAGTAATCAGGCCTAACAACAGTGTTCCATTTTGCCATCTTCCTGTGTTTCCAGACATTAGTGTCTTAACAGTTAATGAAAAGGCCTACTAATTTACTATCTAACATATGTGATTGACACATTATAGATTAGATGTAATACTTACTATCTGCTTAGTAACTATAGCAACAAAAAACACAAGCCTAATTTACTATAAAATTGCACAATTTAAGTAAATTAATCAACACTGATTACTGAATATAATGTATTCTCTAGATAACTTGTTATTAATTAGAATACTTGTAATAAATTCTGGAGAATATTAACTGGACCTAAAATTTAAAAAAGGAGCACTTAGCTTTCTTTTATCTTTACTCTCCAGCACCCTTAATAACATTTATACTAATATTTCATCATTGAACCGTGTACCAATTATCTTGGAGTACTACAGATAATAGAAGATTTTCTTATTAAAAATCAGGCTATGACCTGGTACTTTATGAACCATGTACCTAATATCTCAGGGTAATAGATTTTCTCTTCTTATTGAAAATCTGGCTCATAGGCATCACACCTGTTATAACTGGGAAACATTTGCCCCCCCCAACTTTTTAAGAATTATTCACTTTTGCCCCTACCACTTTTGTTTTGCAAGATAATATAATTGGAGCAAAACAGTGTTTCTGCTATTCATATTGATTGTTGTCATGACAACTAAGACTGCTATGCAGTGCTATTATAATGTGAAATCGGCCCTACGTCTACAAAGCTCTAGTATAATGTGATGCTATCAAGCTTCATTTTAATAATACCAGTATTACAGATTTTTAAATGCAATATTCCATTGAGATTGTTATTCTTTATGCACGCTTACTATTTTTATAGAAAATGTATTTAGTTTTTTTGTAATTACAATTTGTGAAAAATTTAGTTGCACAATGTAATGTATTGTACACATAGGCCTGTTATATAGACTTTGTAAAAAATAAATAGATGTAATGCATAAATTATGCAGGTTTCATATTCCTGTTCAGAGTTATTATGACTAAATATTTTGTGAAATATTGATGATGACAAAACCTTGTCGAAACGTTGTACATTTGCTGTTATATTAAAGTTTTTCTTCATTACCCATTCAAGCCGTCTCCAGCCATTATTAGTCTCAAAGTGGGTTCCTCGTCATCGAATTAGGCAGAAGTTAGTTGGTCAGACTAGTAAAGTAAAAGGTTTCTCGTGTCTCTTTTGATGAAGATTTTAACATAATCTAAGACTTTGTAGTTATTCTAGTCAACTATTATCACGTTTCACAATGGCCAAATTGCATTCCGAGTGTGGCTTCAAAGTGTCTGCTACATGAACGGATGTAGGAAAACTAAATCTCATAACCAGTATTCTTGGTTCGCATATTGGTGGTTTCTGTTTATTATAGGGTAGAACTGAATTCAAGATTAAACTATTTGTTCTACTTTTTCACTCAGACTGAGGATAAGTGGAAATTTATAACTAGTTGTCCATCAATCACCTGTATTTGATAATGAATGTAATTTAGCAGTAATTTTGTTTATTAGCATTCAATATAACATCTGTTTTTTATGTGTAATTTCTCATTTAATGGCAGTGGGGTGGTAGAGGAGAAAGTGGAAATCTGTGAGTAGAGTTTCTACAAAAAGCAGTATTTAACTTTTCTCATCTTTTAATCAATATATATCCAAGAAAAAATAAATAAACAGTTTCTCTACTTTCACAGTGAATAGGTTTTCACTAAGCAGTAGGCAAGTTGCTCTCCATTTAATTGGGCCAGACAACAAAAGTGTGTTCTAACCTTTTACTTCCCATGCAATCACAGCATAAAGCCTCTGTCACGAAATAACCAGAATCATATATATATCTTGAACTTAAATAAATGTATTACAAATAGTATTCACAACACCAATCATTTTCTTTTTAACTGCACTTTAAGAATGAAACAAAAACATATTAATTTGACCTTTCCTTTTTATAATCACCAAATAAATTCATGCTAACACATACATTTATTAGCATCCAGGTTTTTCAGGTTTTTCGGAAAATATTCTCCAGGAATTTAAGTCAAGTAGTGAAAGAGGCTGAGCATTTTCAATAAGTTTTTGGAAAGTAAGACGTTCAAAAAAACTTGAGGTTGATTCTCTGCTTGTAAAATGTACCTGAAATTCATTATAATAACTCATAAGTATGTGCACTTTATAAATAACATCATCATCATATGACATCTTAATATTTAACTAATGGACGCTGAGTAACATACTGACTACATTGAAACATTTTGTATAATTTATCACTATTTACAAACAACCAGTAAAGTAGTGACCTTACAAATTTATTACAATCACATATATCTAGTAACTTTTTAATGCATTACTTATGATGTTGTGAGGTTACTTAGTGCAATTCTTACAAACAGTGTATTTACAAACAAAAGCCTAATTATATATCAGTTGTGCTAAATTTTTGTATTATGTCGTACTCAAATAATAATTCTTTTCTCAAGTTCAAAATATTTTTTTAATATCTAAGAGTATTAATTGCAACTAGTGAACTATCAATGACTTTGTGGTAGCAGTCAGACCACTTGTAGGCTTGCTAACATAGATAAGAGTAAAAACATCCATGATAAATAAAATGTGTCAGTCACAGGTTCATGATTGTAACATTTCCTTGTTGTGGTTAGGATATATACTGAACTGTTGTTGTGATTAGGGTACATACTGAACTGTTGTTGTGGTTAGGATATATACTGAACTGATGTTGTGGTTAGTATATATACTGAACTCTTGTTGTGGTTAGGATATATACTGAACTGTTTTTGTGATTAGGATATACACTGAACTCCTATTTGTTGTTAGAATGTATACTGGTTCTTATTCTGGTTAGTCTAGATACTGAATTCCTATTTGTGTCTGCCCTCGATACACTATTAAAGACATCAAGCATGATGGACATGTAAAATTTGAAATTCAGATTTATTCATTCCTACAAAGTACATAGTATTTTGTGCTGAATACATCTCTTATAATAAAGCCTTCTTAATTGTATATTTCTAACAACTTTATCACTGAACTCTTGTTGTGGTTAGGACATACACTAAACTGTTGTTGTGGTTAGGACATACACTAAACTGTTGTTGTGGTTAGGATGTATACTAACCTCTTGTTGTGGTTAGGATGTATACTAACCTCTTGTTGTGGTTAGGATGTATACTAACCTTTTGTTGTGGTTAGTATATATATTGAACTCTTGTTGTGGTTAGGATATATACTGAACTGTTGTTGTGGTTAGGATATATACTGAACTGTTGTTGTGGTTAGGATATATACTGAACTCTTGTTGTGGTTAGGATATATACTGAACTGCTTAACCAAAAAGAAATAGAAAAGCACTTCAAGTGGACATTGGAAGGCTAACTATATATCTTAAGCGAACATATTTAAAATTTTAAATAATGGATGACAAAAGGTTACACATATACATATTAAGCTAAGATACTTAAACTTCAAGAAATGGATGATGTAAGACTTACATGCTAAACCATCTATGTTACATGCTAAATCTATCTATTAACATATCAAATCTTACGTGCTAAAGCCATCTATTTTACATGCTAAATCTATCTATTAACATATCAAATCTTACATGCTAAAGCCATCTATTTTACATGCTAAATCTATCTATTAACATATCAAATCTTACATGCTAAAGCCATCTATTTTACATGCTAAATCTATCTATTAACATATCAAATCTTACATGCTAAAGCCATCTATTTTACATGCTAAATCTATCTATTAACATATCAAATCTTACATGCTAAAGCCATCCATGTTACATGCTAAATCTATCTATTAACATATCAAATCTTACATGCTAAAGCCATCTATTTTATATGCCAACACCATCTACTTTACCTGCCAACACCATTTGTTTTAGATGTTGAAGCCATCTGTTTTATATACGAACACTATTTTACATGCTAAAGCCATTTATTTTATGAACCAAAAGCACTATTTTATATATCAAATTTATCTGTTTTACTGTCAGAGAGGCCAAAAAATTATTTTGCATGATAAAATCAATTATTTTTTCTTCAATAACACTTTCTATTACATTTTCCATATGCTTTCATAGCCTTGGTTAGTCTTTGCTAACACAAACCTTATCATTCTGCCTTTCAAGTGCAACAGTGACAATATGATCATCATCTAAGAGAGTTTCTTCAAAGATCCATCCTGGAAGAACTTTATCATCCCTCGCGAGCGTAGTGTCAGAGATCAGTTTTCCAACTTCATTATAGGGAGTTTTACTACAGTCAAAGCACAAGCGTTGAAGGTTATAGCCAATCCCGATTCCTTCAGCTTTGACATAACTTTCCTTTAGGCACTTTGAACCAAAAAACACAACTCAAAGCTGCAACAGACTTCTTTCATTTGCAGGTCATAAGATAAAACATGGCTATTATGAATCTTCAAATTACAAAATAGAAGTCAAAGATGTCAAAAATAACATAATTTCAACAACAGGTATCAAACTTTATATTAGATTTCAGTTCTATCTACTCAATGATAAAACACAAGAAACTGAATCTAACTCACTCAAG